CGGGCATCGCGCCCGAAGAAAGAAGACAGAAGAGGCCCCGACAAACTGTCACGAAGAGGGGCTGCAACGAATGGGTTCTCATTTTTTCGATCTTGTGTGGAGATCCAAAGAATGGGAAGCCATTTTTGTTACTACTTTGTCACTGTGCTCGTTTTTAGTAATACGTAGAAGTAGCAGTAGTAGTAATATTTATGGCCGATGTGTATTTCCGGCTCAACGTACAGTCATCACATGGGCAAATGGGCAATCGCGATTTTTTAATTAGTGTTGCGACAAAATAAATTACGGTTTGCATTAGAGTTGCGAATAAATAATGACTGCGTTTGCTTTAGTGTTGCGTTTTATCAGACATCGCGATTTTTTTTAATAACCTCGATTTTGAGATATAAATTTAGAGATATAAATTTTTTAAAAAGTAAAAGTTAAAAATTTGTTTTTACGTTTTCTTTATTTCGAGTTTTAATTATAATCAGTTTTTGATTTATTTGTCTTTTTTATTAAATTAAATTTTAAAAGGTAGCGTTGCGTTAAAAAATGATCGCGTTTTTTAAAGTAGTGTTGCGTTAAAGGTGATCGCGTTTTTAAAAGTAGTGTTGCGTGTATAAAATGCCCATGATTCTTCCACTAATATTGTGGAAGTGATTTTTGGACCACCAAATGCAGCTATAAAAGTTGCAAGAGGGTGGTCCTTCCAGCCTCTTTTGGCTATTCATTCTTTTTCAGATACCTTTGATACAGGAAGCATTTCATCGATTAATGAAAGTAGTGTTAATAAAGTATATTTTTGAGAATATTTTTTAATACATAAAAAAGTGATTATTCGTTATCAGGTAATAATTATATTTTTCCTATTATTGATTTATCCTTTATATAATTGATTTTTCAATTATATAAAGTAATTTTATAAATGTTTTAAATTCTGTTCTGTAAAATTTTTAGTTTATTTATGATTTATTTTTAATTAATTTTTTTATATGTTTCAGGTTTTTCAGATTTAATTTTATATCAAATATTTTTTTTTAGATATATGTAACAGCTTTTCGAAATTTTTTTATTCCAAATTTTCCCATTTAAAAAATACACATTATACAAATATAAATATTCAATATTATTACTCTTTGGAAAGCAAAAAAGTAAAGCTAACGAAAGCTAAAAGGTACGCATGTATATTTAAAATTTAAAATTGTATATTTGTATATTTAAAATTGTATGTCTGCAATCTAATCTAAAAATTACTCGGTTCTATTTAATTGTTTGATCAAGTTATCAACAAACTGGACTACAGGTATTATTAAAATCTCTACAAGAATATTCATGTTAACTCTTTTTCGCTTTTCATTTTATTCCTCAATTTCTTCATTAATAGAAAATATTCGAAAATTTTTTCCTTTCATGCAAGTTCAAATGGTCAAGGATTTATTCCTTGCTCCACTCTGTGTCGTCAGGACGTAAGTCGTTCTCAACGAGTGACTGGCCAGTATCATTCGTCCATCGACTTTCGTAAGTCCATCAATGTAAATCGTGATACGAAGGCGACAATGATTCAAAGAGGATTCGAGGACGTTTTTTAAATTTATTTCTCTTCCTTTTCTCGATCGATAAGTTCTTTTTCAATATTCATTTTTTCTTTTGGCTATTCTTGTTCTTTATTCATTTCTTCGATTAATTCATTTTGAGATTTCTTTGTTTTTGAACGTTTCTTTATACGAATTGCAATTGTGAATTTCTTTGTTTTATTTCGTTTCATGTTGAGGGAGAGACTATTCATGATACGGATGTTTGATAGATTTTAATATTAAGATGTAGATATAAGCTAGATGTAAGAATTTTATTGTAATAATTGTATGTAAATTATGTAATTTTATGTGATGTAAATGTTTGTGTGTGTGTGTGTGATTGCGAGCGATTAATTTAAATACTCGATGTAAATTTTTACATATTTTCATACTTTTTATTTTATTTCATTCTTATCGTTAATTTTAATTGTCTTGTTTTTATTTTGTAGCTTTAGGTGGGTCTCGATGCGTAGTCACCTCCTCGTCGGTGAGACCCGGTAATTGGCATC